AAAGACAAGCCTGTCTGCAGAAAAGGCTCTTTCAGCAAGAGCATCCGTCAGTGTGAACGGCGCTAACTATTCTAATGGACTTGCGTAATGTACATTCTGGTGAGCACAGCATGTCTAATGTTGCAGCTATAGGACTTTTAGCCCTCAAACACCTTTAAATACTGTATATTTTCTATATTGTTTTAATCATATGCCAACTTAGACAATGTCCATACAAGTCTTGATCATTTTTGTTTAGTCTACTGGAATTAAATATGAAAGCATCAATTACTTGTAAACAACAAACTAGGCACCCAACATTACACCTGCAATATCAGACTGGTTCTTCCTTACTGTGTTGTTTCCATTTAAATGTAAGCCACTGTCAAAGAGTGGAGAAGACACACTGCTGTGGTCTATGGACGGCCCGGGAGAGCCTGAGAAAGAAAAGCAGAAAAATAAATAAATAAATAAATTATTCATGTTTTCACAAAGGAAAAACAGTTACATTTAGTTCAGCCTCATGCGGTACTTATTTTTACTGTTTCAGAAACAAAATGAGTCTAGAGTGTCACCTAAACCTCAAACAGTTATTCAAGTCAGTTCAGTGTTACATTTTAACCTTGTTATTGACTTGACTCTCCTGCTCTGCCTTTAAGCTGAACAGTATACATTCAAAAGAGACAAAGGGCTGTTCTTTGATAGGATATTGCTTTTTGACTCAGTCAGTGGCAGCAAATAGATTTTGGCCTTTTATTTTTTTTTTTAATAAATGTACAGCTTACAGGGAACACATCCTGGAACATTTCGTTCTAAGGCAACAAAACTGGATTCACTAGCCAAACACCCTACAACTGCACCTGAGTATCACCTTCCTACGACTGTTAACTTATTACAAAATACACGGTCAGACCTTTTCATAACTCTGACTTTGGGAAAATGTGGTGGTTTATCTACCGAGCTATAAATATTCACACACGTCTAATAGTCCATTGTGGGCCACTCATAATTAAATAAAATGTACAGAATGGTTGTGTTTAACGAGACTGAAATAATTTGTATAACATGGCTTGCATTTATTTTTCCTCTCAATTAATTCGAAAGACAATTATTGGTGGCTCAACAATCAGGGTGTTTGTATCAGACAAAAGTGAATATCTGAAGCCCCGGAACACCATGTTCTTATTTTAAAAGTTGTTGTTTTTTTATGCACTACAGAATGAAAACCATAAAATTTTACAAATTTTATAGTTTTCTTTTTGTCTTTAAAGCTGCCATTTTCTTGCACACTATCATTTTGTCACCTGCCTGCATACCTCATTTCTCACTTTTTACCAGCTTCACATGGAAATTTTAGTGTCTCAGTTTCCATCTCTTCAAAGCTGCTGGAGATAAGTACAGAAGCAGGGGACTGGTTGTTTGACATTACTGCTCTCCTAAGGCCACTGAGCATGACTAATTACAGCTGTGAAACCTACTGAACAGTTTTAAGCTGACCCAAACAAACAATCCATAAATGTGGTTTATTCTTTAGTTGCTAAAAGCCTCTGAAATCAAGTTGACTGTGAACCTACATGGAATCAAAAGTGCTAGACTCTTACCTAGAGGCAGTTTTAGAAATGATGGGACTTCTCGCAGATACCGAACAGTGATGGTGACCTCATCTCCAGCAGTACGCAAGAGGTGAACCTGACAGGAGAGAGAGGGGGACAGGAAGACAGAAAAGCTAGACAGCAAGAGAGAAACAGTGATGCAGCAGCACAAAATGTAATCTCACAAATGAAACAAACCACATTCATGTCAAGCTATATGCAAACACAATGTAACAGGAGATGAGTATAGGATATGTAATAAGTTAAAGCCTGACTGAAGTAGCTTCACTTAAAGCATCAATCACTGAGGAGCGGCGTTTCTCCCATGACGGCGGTGACAGCTGACGCCAATAAGTAATTACGCTCTGAATGTCTAATTATGTGACGTCTATCCGATATGTCTTCAAAGATGTCAAGTGATGTTTCAAAAAGGCATTCAAGTAAGGTTAGGCTTCAAGGATCTGCCCATCTTCCAGATATCTTGGAAAAGGAAAAAAAAAAAACCTTTGAAGGCAACATCTAACTTGCAAGGTCACTTTTACCCCTCCTCCAATACCCCTCGCCCTCCTCTCCAGCAATGTGTGGCAGCCCTTGTTACTTCAGCCTAAGCATCTGTCAGTACCAAGCGTGTGACAGCCTGTCATTATAAACTCAGGATTTTGTTCTGAAGAGAAGCTGCTCATTATGCATTTTAACACTCTGAAGGTGAATATAGTGAACAGCTAGATAGGGCTGCACAAGACGACAGACATGGGAAGTATGTGTGTCTGGGAGATGGTGACATAATATAGGCAATATTGAACAAAGCAAGAAGATGAAGTGGAGAGAAAATTCTAGCAAACAACAAAAGCAAAAAGCTGGAGTCCATGTATAAAATGTCTGCCAAATATTAGGGCCCTCAATTCGTGTGCAGCTTTTGATACAGATCTACTCCTTTTCAATTTGTCACAGTATGAACCAGAAGAAAAACGGCCTCCTGTCGTGATGACAACTCAGATAGTTGAGGTGCACCTCTGCTGCTATCCACAGTGATTTAGTGTTGGATGGAAGAGCAATAGCCAGATAGAGCACGTCATTTGCTTTTTCCACAGTTAATTACAGATATACTCACGACTTCCTCATGACTGCAATGCTCTACATTTATGCCATTGACCTAAACAAAAAAAAAAACAGCAGAGAGACAAAAAGAAAAAAGTAAACAGGAATTTATACTGGAGAAAATGTGCAATTTAGAAACTGTTTTGCACAAGTGATGAGACCAGAGGAGTGACGTGCCTCCTTGGATTAATAATGGGCAGTGGGGGCCAGAGTAAGAATGTGCTAGGTAGCTGGCTTGTTAATATCATGGATGGATTACTGAGCAGGCCTATTGAGCACACGTCCCGGACTGATTGGCTTTTCAAACCAAAATGACCATCAAGTGACCCTAAAGGAGATGCAAAAAAAAAAAACAGCAAAGTGACAAAAAGGAAAAAAAGTACACAACAGCAAAGAGACACACAATACAACAAAGTGATCAGAGGCAAACTGATGTAGAAAGAAATTCTTGATAAAATGATGCTATGTTATGTACAGTGGTGTGAAAAAGTATTTGCCCCCTTACTGATTTCTTATCTTTTTGCATGTTTGTCACACTGTAATGTTTCAGATCATCAAACAAATTTAAATATTAGTCAAAGATAACACAAGTAAACACATCATGCAGTTTTTAAATGAAGGTTTTTATTATTAAGGGAAAACAAAATCCAAAACTACAAAACCCTGTGTGAATAAGTGTTTGCCCCCTAAACCGAATAACTGGTTGGGCCACCCTTAGCAGCAACAACTGCAATCAAGCGTTTTCGATAACTTGCCATGAGTCTGCCACAGCGCTGTGGAGGAATTTTGGCCCACTCATCTTGGCAGAATTGTTGTAAGTCAGCCACATTGGAAGGTTTTCGGGCATGAACTGCCTTTTTAAGGTCATGCCACAGCATCTCAATTGGATTCAGGTCAGGACTTTGACTAGGCCACTCCAAAGTCTTCATTTTGTTTTTCTTCAGCCATTCAGAAGTGGACTTGCTGGTGTGCTTTGGATCATTGTCCTGCTGCAGAACCCAAGTTCGCTTCAGCTTGAGGTCACAAACGGATGGCCGGACATTCTCCTTCAGGATATTTTGGTACACAGCAGAATTCAGGGTTCCATTTATCACAGCAAGTCTTCCAGGGCCTGAAGCAGCAAAACAGCCCCAGACCATCACACTACCACCACCAATATTTTACTGTTTGTATGATGTTCTTTTTCTGAAATGCGGTGTTACATATACGCCACACATAATGGGACACACACCTTCCAAAAAGTTCAACTTTTGTCTCGTCTGTCCACAGAGTATTATCCCAAAAGTCTTGGGGATCATCAAGATGTTTTCTGGCAAAACTGAGACGAGCCTTTATGTTCTTTTTGCTCAGCAGTGGTTTTCGTCTTGGAACTCTGCCATGCAAACCATTTTTGCCCAGTCTCTTTCTTATGGTGGAGTCATGAACACTCACCTTAACTGAGGCAAGTGAGGCCTGCAGTTCTTTGGATGTTGTTGTGGGGTCTTTTGTGACCTCTTGGATGAGTTGTCGCTGCGCTCTTGGGGTAATTTTGGTCGGCCGGCCACTCCTGGGAAGGTTCTCCACTGTTCCATGTTTTCGCCATTTGTGGATAATGGCTCTCACTGTGGTTCGCTGCAGTCCCAAAGCTTTAGAAATGGCTTTATAACCTTTTCCAAACTGATAGAGCTCAATTATTCTCTTTCTCATTTGGTTTTGAATTTCTTTGGATCTCGGCATGATGTCTAGCTTTTGAGGATCTTTTGGTCTACTTCACTTTGTCAGGCAGGTCCTATTTAAGTGATTTCTTGATTGCGAACAGGTGTGGCAGTAATCAGGCCTGGGTGTGGCTAGAGAAATTGAACTGAGGTGCGATAAACCAGAGTTAAGTTATGTTTTGACAGGGGGGGCAAACACTTATTCACACAGGGCTTTGTAGTTTTGGATTTTGTTTTCCCTTAATAATAAAAACCTTCATTTAAAAACTGCATGATGTGTTTACTTGTGTTATCGTTGACTAATATTTAAATTTGTTTGATGATCTGAAACATTACAGTGTGACAAACATGCAAAAAGATAAGAAATCAGTAAGGGGGCAAATACTTTTTCACACCACTGTATTTGCAAAACTGTTCAAATAATTGTTTAATCTTTTTGACCTTTATAAAGATTTGACCTGTGGACATGAAATGCCGTGAGGAGGTGCAGAGAGACTCAGAACAACATGAAGTCGTGCATATACATACTGAGATGACTAAACTGTCGAGAGCGAGAATAGTGTGTGGGTGTAAAGTCTGATTGTCTTGGCTTCAGATTGTCAAAATTATATGAAATTCTAGGATTGACATTATAATCTGCATTAGCAAATATATCTACAAGTTTACTTTAGTATCATATGGTTTATGATTTACTTTTGCTTTAACCAGTTCACTTGTCTTTAAGAATATAGGAGACATGTGTAAGGCTGTAAGAGTAGACCGGAAACCACATACAGGAAGTAGACCACGGTTGCATAGCAACGCTCGAGGTGCTTCCTCTAAAACTGTCTATTGAAAGGTCAGGATGTGTTCTGAGAATGTCACAGATCAAAATCTGCCTGGCGACAAGATCACCAAATGAGGGGTCAGAACGAGGTCAACAAACCAATCAAGGAACGAGAATGAAGGACAGCACGGATGACGTCAGATCTACCATCTTGACTGTGTTATAAATTCTCTATGTAGAGGAAACTTGGGGTTCCGGCTTCCTGCAGCAGCTATGCACTGACGTCTCTGTGATAGGGCTTCAGATAGAAACAGAATCCAGAGCTCTGTATTGCTTGTCTTGAATATTTTTTCTTTATCAAGATTGTAATAAATATTTTAAAGGTTCTTCTGACTTCGACTCTTCCTCAAAAATGAACATGCAGGACGCTTAGGTCCTACACTGACCACACAGAGACAAATAACTACTGTAAAGAGAAAACCATAAATAGTCTAAACAACTAATAAGGGATACAAAGGGACTAAATGGACAAGCACTAATGTCCAGTCCTTATCATTCATTTTCAAGTCTGACTGAGCCCCCTGGACACTTTTCCAAACAAGTTGTGATGGCAGACCTAGTAACATTGTGTCCCTTTCAACACGGGATGCATCTAAACTACATGCAGTTGCATTAACAGTCAGGCATGCATGAGACTACGACATGCTGACATACAGTACCCGTCTCAACAGTAACGGGCATCTGCATTGGTCTCTTCTGCATCACTGTTCAGCTCAATAAAGAACAAGACTGTTTGGGAGAACGCCTTAAACAGCAATAACATAAGGAAAGAAGAACCTCCTGGAACAAACGTTTATTTTCTTTTCTCTCTCCTCTATTGATTCACCCCAACTGGTGGAGGCAAAGGGCCACTCACTGAGAGCCTGGTTCCGCTGGAGGGGGCTTCTGTTAAAGTTTCTCTTCCCCATTGTCACAGAATGCTTGCTCAAGGCAGGATCTGTTAGGATTTTCTCCATAAATGGAGAGAAAATGGCCACAAATGGATTTAAAAAAACAAAAACAAAACAAAAGCTTGAAGCAAAAATGCCCACAATGAGACACCAACAGGATAAACAATGTACAGATGCAGAAGAGCCATTATATTTATATATAAAAAAATAAAAAAAAAAGCCACACCAAGACCAAAAATGTCCAGTCACGAGGAAGAGACAGTACATTACCACAGATGCAACATTAATCACTAAGAGACACAAAAGAAAAGCACAACAGGAAGCAAGACAATGAAGAAAAAGAGACTAACATGACTACAAATAACTTTCAGGAGGCCCGTCTCAATCTATCCATGGCTGTACTGTAGAGTTACAAATACCAGCAACTTGACATTATTTCATGTTAGAATAAGTTTATTCTTTAATACACTGAAAAAATGAAACTGTTCCAACTGTACAGTTTATTATTGCACAGAAAGTGGTCTCAAAATTGGAGTAACACATTTTTACTCATTTTACGTTAGTGTCCTCAACACTGAACCACAACACACACACACACACACACACACACACACACACACACACCTTATTTGCTGCTGTCTTGCAGTGGTTAAAGTATGCAAATACATGCAATATTGTTCAGCCTGACAATTCAAATGAGCCATGTTACAAATAAATATGAACCAGTAGTGATTGAAAGGTGGAAGCAATAGCAATTCACTTCAAAATATGATTCATACTGTCAAAAATGAAAGTTAATATTGCTTGGCTGGCCAATGTCTACTTGATATTCTAGATAAACTGCTCAAAGAACATTAAGGGAAGACTTGATCATCACAGTACAACACCAAATCAGTTAAACTTCAGGGATACTGTTAGGTATTTTTAGTCAGATAGAAATTGGATAGATACTTTATGTATTAGAAATGTTTAGTGGAGACAGGATGTCTAGTTAGACTGTTAAATGCTTAGTCATGCTTATGAGTTTCTACAGGGTACATCTGGTCCAGGATAACTAGAGAGAAGAGTTGATGACTGTCAGCAGACAGGGTGTTTAATATTATTATTATGACGTGTATAACTGTAGCCTTAGCCATAATATGTTCTTATGTTTAATGTCATGACATGTTACTAGAAGTCTGTGAGAATGTTTTTAGTTACACACCACTTAATCAACAGACACACACACATTGATTTGCTTCATGTTTTGACTACTGCTATGGCCAGCTGCAAAGCTGGTAACAGAGACGTCTCGGTTGACGTTTCTGTGTAGTATGGGGCTAGCCCAACCGAGGGGATATAATGTATAGGCCTGGTGGGTTCAGGGTCTTTCATCTTACATCTGCCTGTGAGCAGTTTGGAGGGGCAAGATACCTGAGCGTGTAATGTTAATTTTACCTGTGATCCTTTGAATAAATCAGCACTGTTTTGAAGTTACTTGGACTGTCTCGTCTCAGAGTTAGCAATGGTAACAAGAACTGAAGACCAACAATATCAATGTCTATTTAGGAAGCACATGTGACTGTGAACCAGTTTCACCTGCTTTGGTGTAAATGAAAGTGTCAACGGGTGCAATGGAGAGGCAGAAGCAAGACAACACCCAAAAACACCCGACTGGTTTTACATGTGGTGGCCACAGACAAATGCTCTTTCCTGATCCTTCCTGGCTGATTCCTTTCAGGTTTTGTGTTTTGCTAGTGTCCTTGCACTACTGGCAGCATAGGTAGTCCAGTTACTCCAAGATGGCACATCCAGCCAGATTCGCTGCATCTCCCAGCACAGCCTCAAGAGCAGAGATACCAGGAAACCGGCCATTACACCAGGAGAGCTGGACAGGCCCTAGAAGGGCAACAATCCAGCAGCAGGACCACTATCTGCTCCATTGTGCAAGGAATAACAGGATGAGGACTACGAGAGCCTTATAAAATGACATCCACCAGCTACTGGTGTGTACGTTTGTCCAAACTGTCAGAAACAGACTCCATGAGGGCCCAACATCCTCTAGATAGTCCTGTGCTCACAAGCTCAAATGGACCTCGCCAGAGAACACCAGAATTTGCAGGTCCACCATTGATGTCCTGTTCTCTTCACAAATGAGTAAGTTCGCACTGAGCACATGTGACAGGTGTGGAAAAAGTCTGGACACCATGGTGAACATTATGCTGCATGTAACATCATCAAGCATGACCGTTTTGGTGGTGGGTCAGCATATCTTTTGAGGGCCACACAGACCTCCATTTCATAGCCAATGGTACCCTGACTGCTGTGAGGTACCGGGATGAAATCCTCAGCGTGACTGTGCTGATGCTGCAGGACCTGGGTTCCTCCTGTTGCAGGACAGTGCCTGGCCTCATGTAGCCAGAGTGTGTAGGCAGTTCCCGGATGGGGAAGGCATTGATGCCACTGACTGACCCTCATGTTCCCCTGACCTCATCATGTATGCAGCACCACCACAGACTGTCCAGGATCACTGCCCTGATCTGGGAGGAGACCACCCCCCCCCACACACCGATGACGACAGCTGCCACACAACGGCGCTAATCAAGCCACCGGGAGCAATTCGGGGTTCAGTGTCTTGCTCAGGGACACTTAGGCATGCGGGGAGACCGGGAGTCGAACCACCAACTTGCTGGTCAGGAGACGACTGCCCTACCTCGTGAGCCACCGCAAAATATACAATGTACATTAGTAAAGGTTTTCAACATGAATAATTTGCTTGCCAAGATCTGATGTGTGATTTAGTGTTCCCTTAACATTGAGCCAGTTTACCTGCCAGATGGATTTAAATGCACTTTCACAAAGACATTTTGATGATCACTTTAATGACCAAAAGGTATTACTTATTGGTGACATTAATTTACAATATTTGAAAGAGTCAAAGATATTTCATTAAAATCATGCAGTTCTAACTTCAAAATGATTCTCTTCCTATTTCCTCACTGAAATGACAGTCTCTCAAAACAAGATGCAACAAGTTCTCATCGTCACCGTCACTCAAATCAACCTTGAAGTGATCGAGTCACGAACTGATGTACAAACCTGCAACACGGCGTCTCCAACAAATAGTTTCCCCGTCTGATCGGCTGCAGGCATAAATTTCAAGTGTCAGAGGTTAATGAAAACATCAGAAAATAATTGCTCATTTCATACTTGGTAATGTGTTGGAAACAGCAATCAATGTCTCTGTCTGACTAATCTCAGGCACCATCCTACAGCTCTGGGAAAGAGCACAGAAAAAAAAAAGATGAAATCTGAAACTAATCAGGTCATTTGTAGTGACACAGGAGGAAACAAAAAAAGCTGTGTTAAAAATCTGTTAAGCTCCATGAAAAGGGCTCTTAACATCCTCAGGGATACGATGACATTCTCCCATATCCAAAAAGGTTGAAAAGAGATGAGGGCTAAAACGCTAATTATAGGGACAAAATTCACTCACATGATGCTCTGATATTGCATCGTAGCCGGCTACTGAGCCGTCATCACTTCTTACATGTTTAGTGAAATTTTCTCTATCCACAGTAGCAAAAGCCCAATTCCATTCCTCTTCCACACTGGCTACTGTTTACTTCTTCAGTTTCTCTTTGCACACCAAGTGTAATGAAATCAGCAAAATTAATGTCATTTAAAAATACACTGACAGCGGCTTCTAATTCCGCATTACAGTGGTGAAATAAAATACTTTCTTACCTACTTGATCTCTGAAAATCTTTGAAATAACCACAGGCACATTGTGCTCCGCACCTCCCTGAAAACCAGAAGAGCTAGATTAGAAGGAACATTGTTTGGTGTTGAAATTTGCTGCCAAAACAGCTTTCGCACACAGTCATCTCTGCAACCCAAAGCCTTTTCAGTTCCACTTAAGTCTCTCCATAATCAAAACTGATCTGCTTACTTTGATGCTTAAGCCCAGACCGCCAGTCGCCTGTCTTCGCAGTACAACAGTTCTGTGCTTTAGAAAGTGGGAGTTTCTTATTGGCAAAAGGATATTGTGAACATTGAAACAGTATTGTGAAGTTACGCAGCATGAATTCCAGTGCAAGTCTCAAGCCTTCGGGTGCACTTACATTTACTTGGGATTCACTTCGACTTGTGCAGACCACATCCAGCTTCTGTATGGTTAATGCCTCTCTGGTCAGTTTCAGGCAGACGTCGTAGGTATTGTTGGTCTCCTCATTGTACAGCAAAGCAATTCCAGATTTTGTCTGTTAAGAACATTGACATTTTGCCAAGCAGAGCAATTACAATGACAATGGGACATTTTAATCCTCTTTTCTCAATGTGCCATTTGTATCTCCCTTTATGCTGGTCTAGTTGTGGGTTAATTGGTTTTGCTTAACATTGTGAACCTTTGTATAAAAGAAAAAAGATACAGTAATTAGAATGTTATATCTTTACCTTGTATATAATAGATACACAAAAATTCAGGCACTACACAATTTCATTTTGGGTACAGAAAAACTGTCAACAACAACAGCCTACTAAGATAAAACAGTTCAGACGTCACACTGTAATCTTGACCATGTCTGTGTAGGTGAAGATTCCACAATTCCCTGCATCAAAGCACAGTGAAAATTCAGCTGTCAAAATTAATGCATTATTCTCTTATTTGCCCCCGATGGTTAGAGCCATCAGTTGAGGTGGCACTGCAGATGGCTGCCTCGGTTCTGTCCTGAAAACAAATTCCTTGTGTGTAACATACTTGGCCAAATAAAGGTGATTATCCTCATCATTCGCTGCAAACACCAAACGAACCAACAACCTAAAATCAAACAGCTTTCAAGCTGTTCTAACAACTCAGAAATAGCCTGAACGTTTTGACGGGATTAAGTGAAAGTTTTCAAGTTCTACAATTAGATGAACAGGACAGAGGTACTATAGTAATACCATATTTAAAGACCCCACCCCCAGAGAAACACTTCGGAGAAGGGAAACTACACCCAAATCTCCGACTAATAGTACATAATGAGGCAATTACTGGCTGCACATGTGCAGGTACAACATATCCAAATCAGAATCAGGTTAGACTAGCTTTGATTGTACTTCATTGAATTCTTTGAGGCCGTAATTGTGTACAAATATGTGGCTGGCTGAGCAGTTTTTGGAATTAAAAGGTTTGTGAAGCCTACACTGTTAAAAAAAAAAGAAAAGTGCTAAGATGAAGTGACATTTGATGAATATTCTCAGTGGCAGCCTAGCCTTAAAAATGTGGAAGGTGCAAGACATGTCACAGCACAGTCACTTTATCTCCTCAGTTAAACATTTGTGTGCATCAGAAGAGCTGCACATTAGGTCTCCACAGGTCCACCTGGTTGCTCATATCCAAACTAGGCACAGTTTGTATGAATGAGTCAATGTCTGTAGCCTACTACACAACATTCTGTAATACTGTGTAAATTTAACCTTTTCTAGTTCGACAAAAAATAAAAAAGATTAAGTTTAGATTGAAATGATTTCGTGACCCCATTTAGGAGGACATAATATCTTTAAATTAATGAGGTGAATGCTTACTATGAACTAGCCACTGCCTGTGGCGCCATCTTATCCTCTCTGCTGGACACTGCACATCAGACAACTAAAGTGCAGCCTGATTCCTAAATTACTCAGGGGCTAAAATCAGGCCATCTCTGTCAGGCCGGCACAGCTTGGGTTCCGGTTTAATAAATGTGAACTCTTAGCACAATGCAGACATACCTTCCTGTGGCTTTAGTAACTAAAGTTAGCTACACAGATAATTGTGTTTAGTCACTGAATCAATACATTACAGGTACAGTGCAGGTAAGAATGGTAAAAGAAGAAAACAGCTACAGTGAGTGGGTTAAATGAAGTGCATGACATGCATATTACAACTCTGACACCAGCTAATTAACACCACAGGACACCTTCAGCTTTTACATGAAATATCACTCGTCATTCCTTCATCATAGGCTGATTACAGCTGCTTGTGGTCAGCAAAGGCTCAGCGCGCCCATCCAAATGGAGCAACTCAGAGGTGATAAATAAAAACTACTCTGCCCAACACAAATACATTTTGATTTCTGGCATCTACAGGCTGCTGGCTTCCACTACATTGCGTGCAGCTAGCCAGATTTCATAAAAACAACAGTTATCTACTTAAAGCACAGAACAGAAAGACGACTGCTGTTCTTCAAGAAGAAAAAAAAAAAACCCCAAGTACCCAACAGTAGCACCTCTGAATTGTGAGACAGCAACTGCAAAAAGGCTCAGCCATCATATCAGCTGCTTATACTATTTGTACCAAGGTGTCACAGTTGTCGTCCCAATGGGAGAAAGTAAAGTGCATTTTGTAGAGTCAAAGTAAGTGAATCAAAGAGATCTTACTTGGCCAACTGAAGTGGAAAAAATAAATAAAATCATTGTATGCTCAGTGGCACCAGGATGCATTTTCTTCTGGCCAGAAGTTGCTGTGAAGAGTCACTATCCTTTAAAATCCATTGCTGAATCCAACTAGAATCTTTCCTGATATATGGGGAGTCAAAGTAATAAGACTCAACAATGATCACAACCTGTAGCTACAGTCTGCAAAGCAGTAGGTACCATGACTGTGCCTCATATTGGAGTAAAATGTAGGTGCCACCGGGATTAAGCCAAATCAGTCTCATTAATGGATAATAGCAAATTTGTAATTCTAAATAAAATTACAAAATAAAAACCTAGGGAAATTATTAGCACTTAGATATTATATTGCAGCTAGATTTGCAACATCAATGATGCAATGGAATAACGAAGAGGTGTTACTGAAGTTCGTTCCATGGACGAGGTTGACAGATTAATTTAATAAACCACAAACCGATGTCTGTTTTTCCATAAATGCTATCCTGCAAAGGACAACATCCTTTGTTTAAACATTCCTCTAGCATCCAACATATTAATGCAAGATCGAGAGCTAGTGTTAGCGAGACCTGTAGCAGAGCAACAACCAGTTCACCTACTGCCAAGTTCATAGTACGGCAAAGCAGTGATTTATTTAACTGATCTTCACAAAACAAGATCGATTTAACATTTTTACCTGAGGTTCCGCAGCTTTTGCAGCTGCAGCACAGCTGTCAGTGAGGAGGACAGGGTCAGTCAGTGTCAGAGCTGTGACAACATCAACTACAACACTTCAGCTCAGCCCCTAGGGCTTAGGTTTGATATAGACACCATCTCAATATTTTGAGCTGGGCCTACCAAAGGACAGACCATGATATCATATTCACGAGAGTGGGAGAGACAGACAGACAACCGGAAAACAGCCTCTGGCCATGGCTGTCGTCAGCACACACACTGATAACTTTGAAAAGCACCTATGACACATACATAGGCACACTGATATGCACTCCAAAACTCAGTGTACACACACACACACACACACACACACACTTTTCTTGTGTCCAGAACAATCACATAATGTCTGGAAAAGTCAAACCTGCATAAGAACTGGACGCAAAAACTCCCCTCCAGTGAATCGCACTTTAATTTCAGCAGGTCTGTTTAACCTTAAACCACTTACTATGGATTTCAGCTACGATTCATGAGTTTTGATCAGTGCAACCATCTCTGGGTCTTATCCACACATCACTCTCAATATTCGCCATCTGGCTACAGGCCATACTACAATAAACCTCATTCATCTCAACCTAGAGGTTGTTCCTGAGTATGAAATATAGATGGGATTGAAAAACTAAAGGCCTACTTTATGCATCTGAAAACGGGGGACTGTGTACAAGTAGACTGTGACAGTCAACACTTCAATAACATATTGATGGCTTTATTTCAAAGTCACTATGATAGTGAAAGGCACAATTACAAAAAGTGTGTCCATGTCCAAGTATACAAGGTCAATAAGCAGTAGCCAGGACTGAGCCGTCCCCCTATGCACAGAAACGTGGCATTATACAGCATCTCCTGCAATCATGTTTGTTCAATTTAAATCTCGGCGTGGCTCCATGGAGTATTAAAAACCTCTTGATGGATTTCCTCTCTGCTGTATAGTCATCGTTTCAATAGGCCTGTCCTGCTGAGCTTTAGTGCTGAAATAACAAGGGTGACTATGTGGTAGCCACCATCTCCCATGTGTGAGATTTGTGGTTTGGTATGTGTAAGTGATAATCAAATGAAAGACTAATGAGTCTTTAGGTTTCCTAAAAATTACTATTAATACAATGCATATGGTGTTTCGGTACTCTCATATACTGTATGTGCACAATCAAATGAGACTTTGAACCATGCAGTAACCATAAGGAGTCTGGTTTGAGCAGGGGTTGGGGGTTCTTACACATGGAGGAGTACGCTGGGGTGAATGAAGAGTCAGTGGATTGTTGTAGAAATTCCTCAATCAGTTAGTAAATGGCAAAGTTAATTTCTTTATCTCCCTCTCTGAAAATGAATGAGATATTAAAATGCACAAGTTTCCTACCTTGAATTTAAATACAAATGCTAATGAAACACTGTGGGCATTAATAATGCAAAGGAAGAGTTTGCTTTTATTTGCCAAGGAAACATTTTGAGAGAGAGGTCCTAAGAGTAACAGCACAGCTTGTTTTGATGCCTCAGTCTGACAGGACGCATGTTGACATGTTAAAAATTAAAACACCATCAAATTAAGACTTGAATTAGCGCCTAGTTTTGTAGTTAGGCGAGTAATAGAATGTCTGTGCATGATATGGTATTATATATGTATCACTGCACTCTCTGCAGGGGCTAATTAGAAGCTCTGAGAAAGGACTAATTTATGATACAGCACTGGAGTCTGCCCTTTGGCCAATTTCACAGCTTTCATGGGTCCCTCATGTACCTGCTATACTCCAAAAGGAGATTGAAGTCGAACTGTGGAGCCATCTGATTGGAAATGACATCTTTAAATAACGAGTTTGTAGGGCATCACTAAACATTTACTACAGCTTGAGGAGGAAATGCTCAGAGGAATCAAACCAACATGTGCCATGCGTTTGTATTCTCACTCAAGGTGTCATTAAGTGACACCAATGATATGAAAGCCAATACTGTTCAGACAGTGAAAGAATAAATACATCTTTTTTCCTTCTTTAGGGAACTCAAAGTCAGGTTACTTTGCTACCTGAGTAGCTCCAAGAACATGAACTGTTAAGGATACATGCTCGTTCTCTAAAAGGAGTGATTTGATTAAAATATGACTGACATCCTGAATACAAAAGCACAGACTGTCACACTCCACTAGGGTATAATTAAGCTTCTGCAGCTCCTGTCAAGAGAAAACCTCAGTGGCCACAGGGAGCAGGAAATTTTACATGACATGCATGTCACTTATTTTGTATTACTTTAGAAAGGGGACAAGCCAGAGCCTGATACTCAGATTGCATCACGCTCCATTTAACCCCCTCTCCAGTGATCCATGTTTGGGGGTGCTCTTAGCTGCTTGTTCCCCCAGTAAAGGTGACACTGACCAGCATCTCAGTGTCACCTGCAGTCACCACAGTCCTACAAGGCTGTGTGAGAATACCTTTGTGTCAGTATTGTTTGCCATTTTTACTCACAATGTGTTGACAAAGGAAGCCGTCATGCTTACTTCTCAGGAGGAAAGGTAACGGCTGCCTGCACATGAGAAATTGTTGCATACACAGCACATGGTTCATTTAAGCTTGAGCTACATCCAAGAGTTAAATTGGCAGTATGCCAGTTGCTGCTGTGTTGAGGATGTGCGCTCCAGCCATCCACGTACAATATTTACACATCAGTGCTCAAAATGCAGCAACACATGAAAGCCCGGCAGATATCAATCATGTCACAGGCATTACTGACAGTGGGTAAAATCAGCCCGGTGTCACTGCACGCTGTTGTCACTCACTGTTCAGTTACAATTTCCTCAAATGATCAAGTGTTACAAAGATTTACAGGGTGGGTGAAAAGTAACTAGCCAATTGTTAATGTCTATCGAACTTGTAGTATCACTGGAGTCATAATGAAAACGGTCTCTAAATGGGAGGTGTAATAAATAGGATTTCATATGAAACCCTATTTACTATCGTCTATTTAACCCACTGAGATCCTCTGTATTTCACACGCCGTTTACTACTAGTCCTTACATAATGATAGAATCTTACCAAAAATATTTACACACAGTAAATGTTAGCTAACTGAATCAACCAAATGCCAAAACCAGCATCAGTTTATTATTCATGACCCATATAGACAGAAATCTGATACTTGGCCAGTGAGAATACTGGATGATTAGTTTTATTTTCTACAAATGAAAGGAAAAACTGAATAATGAGTGGTTTCTTTCAGGATGACAGTGCTCCCATCCATAGTGCACTAGGGGTCACTGATAGGTTTAATGAATATGAAAATGGTGTGAGCCATATGCTATGGCCTTCACAGTCTCCAGTCATCTGGAGCGACGTGTTAAGCGAGCGTCTCCACCACTATCATCAAAACACCAAAATGGAAGAATGGTGTTCATCCTTCCAGTAGAGTTCAGAGACTTGGAGAGTCAATACCCAGGTGCCCTGAAGTTAATCCATCACCTTAGTAAGACACTTTGGCCCCTATCTTGCAAACGCATGGCGTGCAGGGCAGATAGTACATGTGCATTTACCAATTTCCTACCTGCGCAATTACCGCTTTCATGGCATGTGCATCATTGCCTTTTTACCAAAATAAAAAGATGACGTGTTCATAGGGTGCTGTGCACAGCAATGCATTTGTAATAAACCCCATGCCTGCTTCACCTCAAGGAGCCTTGGGGGCACCCCTGTAAATGATCCGCTTGTGCATCTTCACCTCACGCACAAGGAGATCCGTTTCCTCAGTGGGAAATCTTACTGGCATCTGACCTGCCAAGTCCGCCAGTATGCTAGCAATCCATCAAAGGTTCAAACTCACACGTCTCAAAGGGGATTCGAGGTTATAAACTGATTGGATAATTGCAGCTTGAATGTGGAGATCAAGTGCAGAACTTCTGCTACTTGCACGGGTGCTTGAACCATTTTTTCCTAGTCGCCAAATTAGGGCCCTTTATGCTAGTTTTTCACTTTCTTTTGTCACCTGAATGTATGCTTATCAGAAGTTTTTTCAAACTAAATTTTTAGGTTTTACAAAAAAAAAAAAAGGATGGATAAAGATTAACTGGGATGGTCCTGCTACTGTACATCTGGTTAACCACTCCACCTTTGTAAAGAGCACAGTTCTGAGTCCTTTTACAGAACCTTCTGGTACTCCAACACAGTGGACTGGATGCAACCCTGCATGCTGGAAAGGGTTTAAACAGATATATGCAGGTTGTAGCCTTTGCAATGACAGAATTAACCTGTCTACGGAGCATTTTCACATAATAGGGATACTGCTTGAACAAAGACTGGCTAAGCATGGGATGGCAAGAAAACACCCTGCAAACCATGCCTGTCCATCACAACACTAATATTATCCTGACATACACTTCAGACAGCCAGAGTAACACACATATACAGTGTAAGCACAGATCTGTTTAGACTGGAAGAAACAGTCAAGATAACTGCTAAACACACCAAACAGCAACCTACCTTTAATTTACCTCATACGTCTGCTGTGACGTGGATTACTGAGATTCTTGCTATTCATGACTGGGAAAACTCAAATCACACACAAAAAGCCACTGACATGCACCCAGTGTGGAGGGCGGCACTGTGACGTGCCTTTCCAGCAGTTCATCTAATTTATCAGTGAAGGAGATTCTCGTTCAGGTCTGCATGTGTTAGAAAGCAAAATGCAATTATTGTTTTTTTAGGACCCCTTTCATATCTTGAATTTGACTGAAGGTCATTTACACACAAAAAAAACAAAAAAACCAAGGTACAGTAGGTATATGCTGTAGTCCAATATTACTAGCTGAGAAAGAGCATACAAATTCTAACATTAATTCAGCCCCAAAACCTAAATATTTGAAGTCTCTTTTCCATTTATAACCTGGGTTTAATTACTGTGGAAGCACAATGAAGTCCATGGTTAACACCCTGACACTGCACGTCAGGTGATTATAAATGAGCATGATGGGATGAAAACCTTACAGCCATTACTGTGTTTGTGGGAGCATCTATTGCAACAAGATAACACTGCTTACTGTATCATTTTAGCTGCCAGTCAGTGGAGACTAAAATGTGTATGAAAACTGAACTGACTGAGCAAAATTAAGCTGCAGACTTGTGTCCCTAGAGGCTGTGGGATCCAGTTAAATAAGCAAATGCTTCGTGCACAGAAAGTGCCCACAAAGGAAGACGTTGGGGACTGAGGAAATTAAAAAGGTGCCATGTGTCCACTGGAGGCAATATCAGGCCATAAGCTGAATACTGTGCACCAAATAAGGCACAGAAAGCCTAATATTGACATTTTCCACAACATTCTGTGCAACACAAATGCATTTCTCAATCTTACAAAAATGCATTACAGCAAATGATCAAGTGCAGTTGTCTACAATCTGAACAATTAGTCCTTGTATATCAGTTTCTTTGCAGTTGAACAGTCCTATTCCAAAACACTTATTTCACTGTTCACATTATCGCACAGACATTGTCAAGTCCTTAACTGTCACAAACTCCACGTGCATAGATGTGCTTAACACACCTCTTCACTTTTTGCACATTTGACTGCACCATGAATCACAAATATTTCCATTTCAAAGTAATTATACAGCTCAGTAAAACTGCAAAAAGTGAAGGGATGTTAATCTTTACCTAAGCAACTGTATATACTGTAAAGTCTGCTAAATTAAAGGAAAATAAGAGGTCTGCACATCACTGTAAATGTGAGCTCTCCATCGCCCTACTGACAAAACAGCTAAGCATTCGGAGAATCTTGACTGACACAGTGCTAATGGAACATTTCACTCTGACAGGGCTGACTTACTCACTGACATAAGGATTTACTTGTCAAGCTATAAAGGTTTTAGGTGAGGCATATCCTTTTAATGGTGAGCTATTGTGTGGTGCTGTATGTGTAAACTGTTTAAACAAACATTAAAAAGAAACGAGCCAAAGCTGCTGAGAAAAACTGCAAATCATAAGACTGGCAGGTACAAGAAGGCAATGCAAGGTATCCAAAGAAAGACTAGTTGATGAATGTCTTATCATCATTAGTGTAAAATCCGCCTTTGATTGCTTAGTTCAATTTTAGGCAACATATGATTTTCCATATGGCTGTAACAAGTCAAAACCATTTTTCTTTTGGCAGCCCAACCACTATATCCAATTAAATATGAAGCCCTTAGAAAAGTGCAGCATACAAATGTTTGTAACTGACATGAAAATAATGTTAATGGTCAAAATACAATTGAGGCACCAGTACTATACAACCACCTGGCAATCGCCTTGATCACAGCGATGGGCGGCTGGTAAACCAAACATTTGCTAGTACTGGCCAAAACTGATCAGCACTTACAACTAAGAAACGTCGACAAAATGTGAAGTTAAGCTGCTCTAGTGTTTAGGCCTGCGTGTACTAACTGGTGTAACCTATCAAACCGCTGGAGGCAGCGTCATACTAGACTCCCATCACATATCTGACAGTTTAATGTGTATTACTTATCGGTCATGTTGTATGACTCGTACAACAGGACAAATTGGGTTTATGAGATTAGCATAGAATGTCGGTGCATTCGGCATATACGTAATGATAAATAATATACAAAGCACCGCTGTATTCTAACAAAATGTGTTCTAAACTTGCACAACAGACGCTGCAGCCCTGCACGGTGGAAAGTAATTGCATTAGAGGACAGTGAAAGGTTTTCATAAATGCCAAGTTATCTTTCTTCGTGTAAGAGTGTCATAGTTTACCAAATGTAAGCCGAACTGTGGAGATGTTACTACGGACTTAGAATTTCGCTGTATGACAAAACCAGACAGGTATTAACAAGTGTTTGGACGAAACAAACGCGTAACACAATGCTTTTTAGAAGTAGTCTGGAGTTCCCTCTACAATGACTAAAACGACGTGTATGCTCTGTGAAACTACCCCTATACACATAGCACGTGTCAAGAGAACAGGGCAAACTGATCTGCGATTTAAGTTCATTCAAATTAACCTTAATGGAAAGGTATACTTGCCGAAGTCTGAACAAAAAGGCTGGCCGGTCGTTCGATCAGCTCAGGTTGCCGTTTCCTGGTCACATTCATTTCCCATAAATGCGTTTTCTCTGTCCGCTGACTTCGACGAGAGTTTATTAAGTGTTATTCACCAGAGCCCCGTTCAACGACACAGACAGACTGAGAAACCATGCCTCTAATCTTCTTTAAAACCTGACTGTAGCTTGCACTTGCAACAATCTAATCTTCTGTAGTGCCAATTAGGGAACAGCAATCATTGCTTACTTCTCCACTGCTCATCCCCAGCTGTCGGCACACAGCACTGCTCTGCTCATCGTCTCTCCACCTGCTCCTGCTGCTGCCTGTCCGCCCATTAACCATTTCTGCGTCACACCTCATTCACTGGTCCTTGAAATTCTGAGTACATAACGGAGTTTAATCAGCATAACTCATGGACATGTATCATTTGTGTTATTAATCAGTACTAGGAAAGGCAGTGGTGGACTTTGTAGGCTTTATTACAATCAGTTAATTCAGTGTTGCCTCTGGTGAGCAACATCACCAATACTGTGCAAAACTACAATGTGAAAATCACATTTTATATATGTATATATAAGGTTGAAGATCACGAGCAAGATGGACACCAGGAACCTCCGTGGCCGGTTACCAAGACTAAGTGAAGTGCCTTCTGAAAGTCTAGTGGGGATGTGAAGGCAGCACTAAGAACAATCTCTACTACAACCATCACTGAGACCAACAAGCTCATATACACCTTAGCAACCTCCCTGAACAAGACCTAGTAATCATTACAATGGCAGACATTCAAGAGAGGGTCTCAAGTATGAAGAGCTGGACAGCACCAGGCCCTGACATGATCCACCCCTACTGGTTAAAGAAGCTAACTTCACTCCATGAACGCCTGGCAGGACAAATGAACCAGCTACTAATGGATGGAACCCACCCTGAGTGGTTAACTGAAGGCAGGACAGTCCTGATCCTGAAGGACCCTCAGAAGGGAACAGTACCATCCAACTACTGCACAATAATCTGTCTCTGCACAACATGGAAGCTCCTGTCAGGCATCATAGCAGCTAAGATGAGCAGGCACATGGCTCAATACATGAGCAGCGCCCAGAAAGGAATTGGTAGCAACACCAGAGGAGCAAAGCACCAGCTACTGGTTGATAAAGTAGTCACTCGAGACTGCAAGACCAGACCTACCAACCTGTGCACTGCCTGAATTGACTACAAGAAACCCTATGACTCAATGCCTCACACATGGATCCTGGAATGCTTGGAACTGTACAACATCGCCAGGACTCTAGGAGCCTTCATCAAGAACTCAGTGGGAATGTGGAAAACAACCCTAGAGGCCAACTTCAAGCCAGTTGCACAAGTCAACATCAAGTGTGGTATCTACTAAGGAGATGATCTGTCACTGCTGCTGTTCTGATTAGGCCTGAACCCCTTCAGCCAGATCATCACCAAGAGCGATTACGGATACCGACTACGGAGTGGAGCCACCCTCAGCCACCTCCTCTACATGGATGACATCATGCTGTATGCCAGGAGTGAATGAGACATCAACTCACTGATCCACACCACTAGGATCCACAGCCAGGACATTGGAATATACATATAAAAAATTCCCCACTTCGGGACAGTTTTATTCCTTCCTTCAAGCTTGGGTCCTCTACCAGAGGCCTGGGAGCTTGAGGGTCCTGCGCAGTATCTTAGCTTCACCTTCCACATCTTTTCTAGCTCTTCTTTCAGCCCATGGTATTTCTCGAGCTTCTTGTGTTTCTTCTTCCTGATGTTGCTATCGCTTGGGATTGCTACATCTATCGCTATGGCCTTCTTCTTCTTCTGTTTGTCCACCACTACTATGTCCAGTTGGTTGGCCATTACCACTTTGTCAGTTTGTATCTGGAAGTCCCACAGGATCTTAGCTTGGTAATTCTCAACCACCTTTGGAGGTGTATCCCATTTTGACTTTGGGACTTCCAGCCTGTACTCGGCACAGATGTTTCTGTACACTTTGCCAGCCACTTAGTTATGGCATTCCATGTATGCCCTGCCTGCTAGCATCGTGCACCCTGCTGTTATGTGCTGAATTGTCTCGGGGGCAACTTTGCACAGCCTGCACCTGGGGTCCTGTCTGGTATTGTAGACCCCGGTCTCTATTGATCTTGTACTTAGAGCCTGTTCTTGTGCTTTGTCCAGCCACTGGTAGGATTTTTTGATATAAGCCATTTCTTCTATCTGACGGTGGTACACACCATGCAGGGGTTTGTCCTTCCATGAGGGTTCCTGCTCTTCCTTCCCTAGTTCCTCTGGTTTCCGCTGCCTGAGGTATTCACTAAGCATGTCATCACTTGGGGCCATCTTCTTAATGTATTCATGGATCTTTGTTGTTTCATCCTGGATAGTGGCTTTGACACTCACTAATCCTCGGCCTCCTTTCTTCTGATTAGTGTATAGCCTCAGGATTCCGGAATTTTCAGGTGAAACCCACCGTGCATTGTAAGGAGCTTCCTTGTCTTTAAGTCAGTCACCTCTATCTCCTCCTTTGGCCAGCTTATTATGCCAGCGGGGTACCTGTTCACCAGCAGGGCGTAGGTGTTAGACTTTGTTCTTTCCATTCAGCTGACTTCCCAGGACTTGCCTTGTACTTGGTAGTTGCTGCTTTCCTTGCGGCCTCTTCATGGTTCCCATTTGCCTGCGGTATCCCAAGGTACTTGTAGCTGTCCTCAACATCTGCTATGTTGCCTTCTGGTAGTACAAAACCCTCAATTCTGACTACCTTCCCTCTCCTTGTTACCATTCGACCACATTTATCCAGTCCGAATGACATTTCGATGTCCTGGCTGTAGATCCTAGTGGTGTGGATCAGTGAGTTGATGTCTCCTCCAGTCCTGGCATACAGCCAAAAGCCCAGATTTGGAGGTTAAGGGCAGGTTTAGGTCTCAATTGAGTGGCTTTTTTTTTGCTGGCATGCAACTTTTGTATTTTTTTTTTTAAATTTTGCATCACATGTACATTGTCAATTTGATCATTTTTCTTTACAAAGTAGTTCAAACTCATTTTTCTAAGCAGCTTTAGTTAACCAAACTAGATTTCTCTCTAGAGTATCTTTGCTGTAGTTCAGCTTACTCCAGTGTGAAGTAACGGGTAGCTTGAAAAGCTGTGCTTCCCCAGCACTACTGGTGGAAGGGAGATGGGTCAGAATAGTTCTTTTTTGAGTCAGTCTTACCAATGATTCCTTTTCATTGGCCTGAGAAAGCTGATACTGTCTGACTCCTACAACCTTCAGCCTTGCATTGGATTTTAGTGATACAGATGGGTTTATACACCAAATATGATACCTCTGCTGCTGACCATCACTCTGGAGCAGTAGAGGTTATAAATAGAGAATCTCAAACACCTAAGTGCACACAGTACCTGAGAGATCGTTTCACATTATATGATAACATGCTGATAATTAGTGGGGGTAACAGTGATGGGCCACTACAGCAGAGCACTATCATCAGACAGTTTGAAAAGGTATTATCAGAGGATTTGAAAAACTATGGTTGTTCCAAAAGCTACTTTAACTTCATGTTTTACTGGCTAGCATTCACATAGCATCCCAAAATTACTATTATTTAGCAAAATCTTATGATGGTTTTCCCCCTTGTTAAGAATTTCAGCAAAAAATAGCCCTAACTGATTGTTGACTACTGCATTTGTAACAGGCCTTGTGGAATTCAGTATGTAGCCTTGAGATTTAGTTGAGCAATTATTTCTAGAGGCAGAGCAGGGCTACAGAAGCAGCTTTAGTGTTTAAAAGATTGTTCTGGACTTCTTGAATTAAACTGCTTGTATAAAAAATACATCTCTCTACTGAAAAGAAATGCATTTGTCAGTGCACCTTAAAGAAAACAGCCTTTTGAACTTGCTGTGTGCAGTACGATTCCTTTACAGTTGTCAATAGCCTCAACAGTACAGATCTGTAATGTCACACTGTGTGGCTTGAAAAGAAATAAAGGCAGCTACTGTATGTTAAATCACCAAATTTTTGTTTCAATAGGAATAGCAAAAAGAACCATGCACACGACACCATAACTCAAAACAAAGGACAGCACAGAGACCCTACAGGCAGTACTGTACAAAGCCCCTGGGCCCAGGCATTGTGTTTGCAACAGGATTGTTAAAAATACCCAGTACCAGAGGTGATTTTAGTGCACTTCATTTTTGTTGCTTCTTTGACCCAGTAATTTTGTTTGCTCTCTATTACCTGACCATTTTCTGCTTGGATTAAGGACTTCAGGACAAAGACAGTGGCAGTTTTACTCAGAAAACAAGGCAAAATAAGGCCATGAATGTTTAGTACAACATGTTACACTAAACAGACAGAGGCTAATACAGGAAATAGTGAGGCTAACTCTGTCTAAAGGTAGCGGCCTCCACCTACTACCAGCTACATTTCTAAATTTACTAAAAGTAACATTAAAGCTCATTAATTAACATACACTCAGCTGACTGTGCCTTTAAACAGCTGGGAAAATTCCAGGAAATGATGTCATGGCTTTAGGAGCTTCTGATTAGCTAATTGACATCATTTGAGTCAACAGGAGGTGGATCTGTGGATGTGTTTTAAGGCCTACCTTCAAGACCCTTTTTGTCTGACTTTGTGGGAAAATCAAAAGAAATCAGCCAAGTCCTCAGAAAAAAAAAAGTCAGCCTCCACAAGTCTGGATCATCCTTGGGAGTAATTTCCAAAGGCCTGAAGGTGCCACGCTCATCTGTAAAAACAATACAACGCAAGTATAAACACAACGGGACAACACAGCCGTCATACAGCTCAGGAAGGAGACATATTCTGTCTCTTAGAGATGAACGTACTTTGGTCCAAAAAATACAAATTGATCCCTGAACAACAGCAAAAGACCTTGTGAAGACACTGGAGGAAACAGGTACCAAAGTATCTATATCCACAGTAAAACCAGTCCTATATCGACATAACCTGAAAGGCTGCTCAGCAATGAAGAAGCCACGGCTCCAAGACTACCATAAAAAGGCAGACTACAGTTTGCAGCTACACATGAGGACAAAGATCTGACTTTTTGGAGAAATATCCTCTGGTGTGATGAAACAAAAATGGAACTGTTTGGTGATAATGACCATTGTTATGTCTGGAGGAACAAGGGGGAGGTTTGCAAGCTGAAGACCACCATTCCAGCTGTGAAGCACAGGGGTGGCAGCATCAGGTCATGGGGCTGCTTTGCTGCAGGAGGGACTGGGGCACTTCACCAAATTTATGGCATCATGAGGAAGGAAGCTTGTGTGGATCAGCCAGGAAGTCAAAGCTTGGTCACAAATCAGTTTTCCAAATGAACAGTGACCCCAAGCAGACTTCGAGAGT